TGTTCTGTGTGCCAATGCTCTGATCATTACATGAAGCCACTGCCTCAGAGGAGGACTTAGTCCCTTCGTTAGTTACTAAGCACTGGAGCTTTACAAAGATGCTGCCCACCTCATGCCCAACGTCTGCTCCCAGGCCTCGTCTGCGTGGTGTCTGCAGGTGGTACAGCCTACATTGTCACTATTTCTTGATGGAGTGCTACTCAGACATTTTACGGTGCCAGTGTACATTCTCTGAGGATATAATATGCAATGCTTCTCAACTTTATCTGAACAAAGAACTTATTTTAATTTTCAGAGCTTCTGGCAGGGAGGAAATTATTTTGGGAAATCTGGTCCCAGGACACCCTTGTGTTCATTCAATTGAAAGACTGGTTTCTAGCCAGGCATAGTGGCATACACCCATAATTCAACACTCAGGAAACCGAGGAAGAAGGAATGTGAGTTTCAGACCAGCCTGGCCTCCACAGGGAGGCCCTGTCTCAAAAAAGACTGGTTTCTGTGAACTATTAAACAAACAAAATTTTAAGTATCAGTTTGGAATAAATAAACATTTGTTCAATTACTTTGGTGTTATTCATTAGTCTTTTTCATCAAAGCTGAGCACATGGTACTCTGTGATATAGCAACCCCACTCTAGGCAGAACACTCAACATTAATGTATGTGTGCACGATGACATCAAAAAAATGCACAAGGAGGTCCCAGCTCACTGATCAAGGCATCCTCTCCCTCTCCCCTACCCCCACGTACAAGAAAGCTCATAACAGCACTCTATTCAGGACAGCCCCAATGATAGGAACAACCCAAATATCCACCTGCAGTAGAAGAGGTAAATGTGTCACAGAGTATGTTACACACAGCAAACAAGCTCTCACCTGATGTGATGTCATAGAAACCCTCTCAACTGTAATGTTGAGTGGAAGAAGCCAGACACGTAAGGAGCAGACACCTGATTCCATTTATACAAAGTTAGAAAGCAGGGAAGCTAATAAATAGTGTAGAAATTCAGGCCACTGGTACCCTGCAGAGAGCAAGGAAATATAACTGGGAGGTACTAAGGGACTTTCTGGGGTCCTGGCCACACTCCATTTCTGGATCTAGATGGGGCTACTGGTATGTTCACTCTAATTCATCTTAAAACTTGTGCACTTTTCTCTTTGGAAGTCATACCTTGTTGAAAGCATAAAACAAGCTCAATCGGAAGTGAAGGGGCATACCTGTAATCCCAGCATTCAGGAGTTTCAAGCAGGAGATCCAACCATGCTATTCTGTCTGGTCTTCCTGTCCACTCGTAACTGCTGCAAGTTAGAGTGGGCAGGTGTCCACTCACCACACTGGCCTTGGGGCCTGGCTGTGATAAGAGCAACAATAACTGCTCTCAGGCACCAGTTCATGCACTCTTCATGAACCCGTGAACCAAGGTGCTTTTAAAATCTTTACTATCCCCATTTACTGAGTGAGGAAATGAAGGCTTAAGGAGACTCAATAACTTGCTCAAAGCCATAGGCTCATATGTGGTGGAGAAACTCAAACAGAACTGCAAATCTCATGTTCTTGGCACTAGATTCTAGGGGGCCCTTTCAATTACAGCTGCTTTGAGATATGAATTTCAATTTCTTGTGACAAGTGAACATTGGTACAAACAGTAACGCAGTAATATAGCCTTACTGTGTTACACAAAGTTCAAAGAAACCCACTCTCAAAACCTGAAGCATGTTATTAACAAAAACAATTAACAATCATTCATGCAGATATAAACCTTTTATTTTACATCAAAAACATGCTGAGCACTAGAAAATAACCAAAACAGGGAATCTGCAACGGTACAATCATTTAAGCCAAAATAATTCTTTCCTGGGCTATAAAAGTTGGCTACTTTTTGCAAGAGGAAATCTAATTTTAAAATATATATATATGTTTTCTAATTGCAAATGTAATATATATTCAATAGACAAAATTTAGTGAGTGCAAAAAAAAAGCACAAAGACAATGAAAGCTAAAAGATGTCAATGCTAACATTTTTTATGAAGATTAAGTCTTGCTCACAGGTGTACACAAGCCCCCATCTCACCTGCTACCACTACCCCTTCACAAACTTATTTCAACCACAAAGGTTCCCTTTCTGATCTCTGTATCTATCAAATTCTTTCCCTCCCTTGAGGAGTCTGCACTTGCTCTCCCTCTAAACAGGTTTTAAGAAAAGCTGACTCTTCCTCATGCTTCAGGTCTCAGCAAAGTGTCACTTATGAGAGCCCCTCCCTGACCACTATCTCAGGAAGTCCCCCAGCCCTCATTTGCTATCATTTCCCTTGTTATTTCCTTCTCAGCATGTGGTAGCTCACACCTGTACTCCTAACTACAAAGGAGGCAGAGACCAGAAGAACTGTGGTTCAAGAACAGCCCAGGCAGGGAGTTTTCAAGACCCCATCTCAACCAATAGCTGGGCACAATGGTAAATGCCTGTCATCCCAAGCTACTCAGGAGGCTGAGATCAGGAGGATCAAGGTTCCAGCCCATCCTGGGCAAAGTTTGGAAGACCTCATCTCATCAGAAATAAGTTGGGTGTGGTGGTGTGCACCTATCATCCCAGCTATGGTGGAAAGCATAAACTTAAGAGGATCATGGTCTGCTGGTGTGGGCAAAAGTGAGATCCTATCTCCAAAATAACCAGAGCAAAAATGGGCTGGCAGTGTGGCTCAAGCAGTAGAACGCCTGCCTCGCAAGCTTGAAGCCCTGGGTTCAAACCCCAATACTGCAAAAGAGACAGCAAGAATGAAAGAATGAGAGGGAAAGAGAGAGAGAGAGAGACGGTGAGGTTAGGCAGGGCTTGTTCACTGCCATGACCCCAATGTCTGGCACACAGCAGGTGCATCCTGTGCAACTGGTTACTACATAGTAACCAAATGGTTTGGTTTGATCCGCTTAATAAATATTCCCAAGAATAAATTGAATCCAAATATAAACTCTTGAATTTGTTAGATTTGCTCACATTTCTCCAGCTATCTTCTAATAACAAAGCCTTATTCTAACAGGCTTCCCTGATGCCAATCATGTACATTTTAAAAGGGCCAGAGAGGGGAAAGAAAAAAAAAAAACTTTCATTAAATTTTAAATCCAAGCATGCCAGACGTGGGGTCATCCAAAGAAATACCATGCAGACTAAGATAATTACTAAAGCCACTCTAGAAGAGTAACATTCCAACTTTTCTTACACACACACACACACACACACACACACACAAAGACACTACAATGGAGTGGAAATACTAATTGCCTAAAAAAGATCCTGTGCATATTAGGTTTAACACAAATCACAATTACACACATCAATCATGTCCTACTTCTTACAAAGTGGGGGAGGGAATCTTTCATATCAATATTATACATCCTAGTACCTTGTCAATCTACACACATTAGTTCAAAAACAAAGCAGTATAAAACTCTTCTGAGGCTCCTCAGTTAAACCTGCCATTATCTTCACAGCCGCTACTGATTTGCATTGGCAACTGCCTCTCGATACATCAGAGATGAGCACAACCTGTGACATCTAAACACTGCTTTTCTTTTCCCTCTTCTTGAATCCAGTGGCTCTCAGTTTGCTGTACATTATAATCTCCTGGAGAACCTGAAAAACACTGGATGCCAGGCTGTGCCCCAAACCAATTAAATAAGAGGTGGTAGTGCGATTTTTGAAGCTCCCCAGGTGACTCCCATGTGCCACGCTAGACCCTCAGTACCCAAAGTGCAGTGTGTGGGCAATGCCTGGGACACATGAGGAAGGCAGGGGCCCCACACCAACCAGATCCCCCAAATCATGGTCTTTTAGGAGATGCAGCAGTGATTCGTGGACATACTGAAGCTTGAGAAGCATCATCCACCACTTATGCAAAACACTGGATCTTTTTAACCTTCAGTTGCTTCATCTGTAGGATGGAGGCCCTTACAGCTCACTGTGACAATCCCGTCAAGAGGTGTGTGCTTCACATTTAGGGTGGAGCTGTCATGCAAGAGCTAAGTAGGTGGTGCTCGTTTGAGTAAAGTCCACCCTACATTCCCTCTTACTTGCCTGTTTGTTTCAGTGTAAACTCTGCTGCAGCTCCCAAATGTGTCCTATATGATACCATATGCTGTGTAATAAAATTAAATGTGCAAATAAACCCCAGTGGATCCACCTTCCCCCGCCAATTAGTAAGCCTTCTCTAGAGTTCAAGGATTCAGGCCCATCTAGATGTCAAGTGCCTGCTGTCCTGCTCCTCTACAGACATAGGCCCCCAGGCCCTCCTGACAGAGGTCCACACTGCCAAAGGTACACTTTCTGCTTTCTCCTCCCAAATGCTCCTTTCTCCCATGACTCTTCTTGCTGCCCCATAGTCTTCTTGCAACTGAACTCTTTTTTTCTGGGCATGAATTAACCTGTCAAAAGTCCTATATTAGTCACTTCGAGCAACTACAGAAAGGTACAAAATACACAAACCTTTCTAACTGAAGCTTCAAATAATAGCATGGCCTCAGGCTACTTTATTTGAGAACTGTGCCTATTTGACAAGGTTTATATTTTTTTCTTATATTGGAGCAGGACATACATAAGGAATCAAATTGTTATTTACTAATGAACACCTGATCTATTTGCTTAAGCAATAATGCTTAAAAATGAAATATGCTTTACTTTTTTAGTGCCAAAAAAAGGCTAACTTAAAAAGAACTTGCTTTCTACTTTACCCAACTTCTTCACACTCCCCTCATGCCATCATTTCAGCCACAGCCCTTGCTCGGCCCTGGCTTCGTAGTATGTTTTTTTCATATTTCTATTTGTGTGATGATTAACACAACCTTTCAAAGTAGTCACTAGTATTATAACATTTCCACTTCCAGCAAAAGAACCCAGGATTTGTTCCTCTGCTCCTTAGGGTCTCGGAGCCAGCACAGCAGCCTGGGGCCCCCAGCAGTACTCACCCTGAGTAGAGTCTGTAACTTCCCTCCTAACTTGTTTTATCCCACTGACCTGGCATCTTCATACTTTCCTCCAGGTAGGGCAGCACCTCCACTCTTCCTCAGCGGTGAAGAGAGGTCAAAGCTGAACCAGAAACTTTAAACAAAGGGAAATCCTAAACACAGATACCACTCAATCTCCAAGCAAGTCATGCTTGGCTCTTCCAAATCCTCACCCAGATATTTTCTAACAATATCCATCCAAGGCCACTTTTCAGCAATTTCTGGAGGGAACAAATAACCCTGAATGAGTTGCTGAGCATCTGTGAACATTAGTGAATACTCAGATGCAACAAGCAGCAACCCTCAGAAGCTAGCAGATACTAAAAGGCCCTGCTTGACTAATCTCACCCTCATCTTCAGTAGGGCTCCTCCACCAGAAGGTCAAGGGAAGCCTTAGACAACAGGAGAGTTAGCTTTTGAGAAGAGATCTGGGCACTTCTGAACAAAAGGAGTAATCTGTGTTCAGTGATAGTGGTGAGATGGTTTCAAAATTGGCTGATCCATCAAAGCCAGATTTCATTTCTGCATAAGTTTTAAAAATTGTTCACTTTTAAAGAATGAATCTGAAGTGTTTGTTGAGTTTAAGAAAAAACTGAGCACCACTGTCTGAGTTGTTACACATTTTCAGTTGACAATGAGTATAATACCTTCACTCCACTGCTATTCCCAAATTCTGCCCTTAAAATCCCCACTGGCCCTAGCAATACCACTCTCAGGTATATTCTGAGCAATGTGGGAGAATGTCTTTCATTCAAGCCTCTAGGAAATGAAAGCCTGCTACCTCGGTGTGCTGAGGTCAAACACATTGGTGCTCTTACAGAAAATTTTAAAGTCTTAACATATATTGTTTGCAAAACAAAAAAATTCTTCCTTGTTGGTAAGCAATCCCTATAGATGAAACTCTCTCAGATTCTGGGGTTGTGGTATGCTGGGTCTTTGAGCTGAAAAAAAATGAATAACTAAAAGCAGCAGGACATGAGAAGGAAAATTTGGGTGCAATTTTCTTTATGGTTTCTACCCTGTCCTCACACTTGTTTCCAACAACAACAACAACCAAAAAACCTACTCTAAATAATCTGCAATACAGGTTAAGATTTCATGCAGGAGTTGTTTTCTTTTAAGGCAAAGTGGGCTTTGGGACACAACAGCAGTCTGAAGCACTTCCATGGCAGTTTATGACACCATAAAATGAATGTTACCATTAATCACATTTTTCAGAGATCCATGCAATTCACAGAATAGGTGGTCCCAGAACCAAAACTCAAGCCCTTCAACTCCAAATGCTGTGTGCCTTCTACCAGAGCAGAGTGTCTGCATGAGAACTGGACCTCACACCAGATCCCAGAGCCTCTTGAAATTCCTGGGCAGGAAGAAAGGAGCAAAAACAGGTGCTCAGCAGACATCCTGAGAGCACCACATGACAGAGCAGCCAGTGGAAAAGGCAACAGGATGAGCAGGTAGGGAAAGCTAGGAAAGCTGGAGCAAAAAAAAGCAAGACCAACCTGAAAGCTGGGCTGTTTATACCCATTTTGTTACAAACAGCTCTACCTACTGGGAGGAGGCAGAGGAAGATGTTTTAGCTAACATTTCATTCTATCATTGTCCTAAATTAGGAATATTATAGATCTTTGTCATCCTTGTCTGTCAGGCTAAGTCATCAATTACCTTCCCCTTAGTTATTTGAGAGTAGTTTTCACTCATTCATTCATTTGCTTGATATGCTGGACCTGTGTTAGAGGCAGAAGGAAAGACAAGCCCTCAATGTATGGTGGAAGGTTCCCAAATCCATGTTTAAATTGAACCTTATGAGTGAAGCTCACATGGAGAAGAAGGGGAGAGAATCCCAGTTCAAATGTGTCCAAATTAGATATTAGGGTCCAGAGTAGGGAGCTGAGTTTGCACTCTTAGAATGTGTTATACCCAATAAAGGTACAAACTATAGAGCTTGTACCAGTGGAAAGGAACTATCTAATACTATGAGTTGATATAATTTTTCTTCTCTTAGTAGGTAACTCCATCTTCAAAACCAAAGTCTACCCAAAACAGTAGTTAAATATAGTTCCAGATAAGAGACATAGTTTGAGTTCTTGCCATCATGCTGGGGGAAGTGGCTGTAGACTTGTGAAATGTTTTACAGAAACTTGCTCTTATAAGAAGTTGTTCAAAATGCATAGCTTGGGAACTATGCAGAAATCTATGCTCTAGCCCAAAGGAGGGCAAGAGTTTTGTTTTCCATAAAAGGTCAGACAACAAATACTTTCTTTACAGGCCTTACAATCTCTATACTAGTTACTCATTTCTGCCTTTTATAGACAATAGAGCCATAAACAATATTAAATGAATAGGTGTAGTTGTGTTCCTCAGGGGTACCAAAATCCATGGATGCCCATGGATTTACAACCTGCAAATATCCTCCCCTACCCTTTAAATCATCTATGGATTACTTGTAATGCCCAATACAAGGTAAATGCTATGTAAATTGTTGTACTATCTTGTTTAGGGAATGGTGACGAGGAAAACAAAGTCTGTTTTTAGTACGGACACAATTTTTTTTCCAAATGTTTTTGGTCCGTGGTTGATTGAATCTGTGGATATGGAACCTTCAGATCCCAAAGGTTGACTACATGTTTGTTCAAGTCCCATAAAATGGTATACCTTGGGACATCAATGAAGTCTCCAAAGATCTCTTTTGTTCCCTCATGACTTCAAAGAAGAACAAAGTCCTTGGCTTCCTAGTTAACTACCTCCGTTCAGGGTCAGAGACACAAGGGATGGGAAACTATTAAAAATCTGCTCCAGCTCTCTGATTTTTATGTCTTCATGTCTCAGAGGCTTGAGGAGCACAACTCTTCCATGCTGCAGCAACTGTAGTCTTGTCCTAGACATATTCTGTGGCTTCACCTTCCTCTCACCTTCTAGTTCACACCCTCATCTTCCCCTCTCCTCTAATTCACAAGGATTCAGAAGTCCTGCTACCAAAAGCAAATCTATACTTACAATGTGCAACTTTTATTAAAATAAAATCATTGTTCATAATCTCCAAAGGAATTGTAGCCCTGCAGACCTGCAGCTTTTGAATGCATGTTGTGCAAGGTATCCTGTTTGATCTTACATGTCGATCTCATCCATAGGGCTATACCGTGTGACTACTGACTATACAGTGGAGATCTACCTCACAGCAAGCAGCGATATTCAGCTGCAAAAGCTGCAACAAGAAAGTGCATTTGGCTTGGACATTCTACAGTTCTGAAAAGAATAAGGGCATTTCCTAAAATGACATTCTAATCATGTTATCCAGTGGTGGACAGAAGGAGGAAACACATCATCCACCTGAAGCAGGAAATGAGAGTACTCAACAACGCATTTTCATAGAGAGAGAGTTGACTCTGAACTTTAAGTTGGATATGACCCACCAAATTAAGTTTGTGTAGTGACTTTTTGAAGAAGAATGTAACCCAAATGGTTTACCAGAGCTTAAATCTTGCACCTCCAACCTCCAAACCCTCTAAGGATACATACCAGAAAATACAGCTATGTAAATGATACTTTAAAACTCAATAAATTGCTCTAATGGGCATTTTTAACCAAGTTGGATAATTTTAAATTAAAAATAAGATAAACTTACCTGTAGAATTTCAGATGAGATTAAATCACTAGCTGGAGTTTGGGGTGGTTTTCTGCATTCCATGCTTTAATTAGAACACTCAGATGTGCTGTGAAGTACTGGACAAAAGAATAGAAAGATTATATACAGCACTGACACTATGAAATCTAAAATCAATGTTCTACACCTGTCAAATTGCTATAATGAGGAAGTTATGTATCAACACTTTTTTTTTCATTTTTAGAAACCTTCTGCTTCCCTGTTCTCAAATCACTTCAAGCACTAATCTGGAATTGTATTTGGGTACTGCTTTGATAATGAACTATTTTTAGGGCTGGAGTTACCCAGTGGCCACTCAAAAAACGTCATGGACTCTTCTTTCCCTTAGGATTTAACAGTTGCCTAGTCTAGAATGATACAAGTCAGTAAAGTGCGCTGTTATCGGGCAACACTTTTGAGAGCACAAACCTCTGTCTCAGACTCCTGGGGAGAGCAAAAACTCAAACTTGTTTCTGGTTAAATACTGCAAACTCAAATCTTCCTTACCTCTGAAAACATAAAAAATATTTTTTTTTCTTCCTTTGTAGTTGCTTTTCCTAACAAAGCAGCCACCCACTAAAGGCTAGCACTGTAAAAATACAGAGGAATGAAACCCTGCAAAAATCTCCCCCCTCGTCTAACAGAGAGAAGGTGAAAAGACTGAATACTGAATCCAAAGGTGCTCCCGCTGGCATCATTCTTCCCTGCTTGGAAAGTGACAGTCCCTGGCACCTCTCAAGACTTCTTAAATGCCTTGCGTGTTCCATCAGAATGTCTGTTGCTCACGTAGCCCTCACCCCCAGGAGTTTCCTCCTCCTCTCTTTCTCTCGGCCTCATTCCCCCATCCCCTCCCTAAGGTCCACCTCCCTCCCTGGGCTCCCCATGAAGCACTCTCCTACTTTAGGCCCACGGGCCGTCCCACCGCCTCCGGAATGAGCTCACCCCAGACCTGTTGGGGGTCCACCAACACCACAATACCGCAACACTGTCCCGGTCTTTCCCCCCTGGTGACAGCGACAAACGCACCCCGGGAGGTCCCCAGGGTTTGACGGTGGCTGAAGCGGCTCGGGGTGACGGGAGGCCAGGGGCTGCGCCGGGAGGCAGCGCAGGGTGGACGAAATGGGCTGCGGCCTGGGCCCGCCACGCGCCCGGGCACCCGCCGAGTCGCCCACGGCCCCGCCAGTGCCCTTCTCCCGCGCACCCCGGAGCTGGGCAGCTGTCAGCCACCAAGGCCCAAACCCCAGGGCGTGGCGGCTCGCGGCGCAGCTCGGCCGCGCTTCGCAGAGGCCGGAGGAGTGGGCGGCGCCTGCGGGCCTCGCCGCCGGGACCTCGGCGTTCCCTGGAAGCCTTCGTCCCGGGAAAGGCCAGTCCCGCGGCCACGCCTGACCCGCTCGCGACTCAACCGCCTCGGAGCCGCCGCAGGGCCCCGGCCTCCCACTCACCTCCCGCGCGCCGCGCACCAGCTCCGACGCGGCGGGCGCCGCTCCCGCCCTGCGCGCACACGGCCTCCCCGCAGCCGCACGCACGCTCGGGCGCGCGCAGAGCACGCGTGGAGGCCGCGGCCCCGCGCCCCCCGCTCGCTCGCTGGGGCCCAGGCAGCGACAGCCCTGCGCGCTCGCCGTGGCGCTCTCTCTCGCTAGCTCTCTCGCTCGCTCTCTCGTTCCTCGCCATCGCCCCGCGTTCCAAGCCCCGCGTTCCAAACCCCGCGGCGTACCGTGATTGCGGCTGGCAGAGGCAAAGCGCCTTAGGCACGGGTTTCAGGCTAGGATTTCTGTGGAAGCCCTGCTTCTCTTTGTCCCTTGCCATTTTTCCAAGCTCGAGGCGGTCCCGTAGGGATTTTCTTGTTGAACTTTACACATTGCTAATTAGGAAAGAAGAAATCTGGGGAGGAATCCTTTGTTCTCTTAGAAGAAATGCGCGTTCTCCTTCCAGGATTGATGGGGAATGAAAGGTGGGGACAGGTCAGCCAATGGCCAAGTGGACAGGAGTCCCCGGACTTGTGTGATCTCAGGAAACGTCTCTAGAAACCGTCCTTTGATCTGGACATTTCAAGGAAGATCTGCTCCATCCTGAGCCGTCACTACCCAAGGCTCCCTGGGAGGAGAGAAGGGACTTTTAGGCACCAGAGCTGCGGGTTGCTTATATGGGTTGTGGTTGCACCAGAGTTTGGGTGGAGGTGGTTGAATGAATAAAAATACAAAACTACCTCATTTCCGCAGAACGGCCCTTGGAATACTGCCATCAGAAAACAATGTCCAATTCTGGTCTTAGGGACTGTACACAGCTTGGTCTCAACATCGCTGCAAGAAAAGATAAAATAGTTCCGTGAACATATACACGTGTCCAAGATTCAACAACTGTTAACAATTTATCATGATTGCTTTCTCTCTCTTCTAGATACTTCAGCCGGCATTTCCCAAGACCAAGGACTTCCACACAACCACGATAGCATTATCACGTCTAAGAAACAATAATTTGATAATAGCACCTAATATCTACACCATATGAAAATTCCCCATATTAGCTAGGAAGTCTAGAATATTGGTTTTGTAGAAAGGATGTACTGTATTTGTTATTTTTGCCTCTTTTAATGTAGAACAATACTCAACTTTTTTTGCTTGCATGGTATTTTTTTTTTAAATCAATTGTCTGACTTTTCTGTCCTCCTGGTGTTATAACTTTCCTTTAGTTCTAGAATTTCTTGTAACTGAAGGAAGGTACAACAGAGACTTGATTATGATGGCAGGAATCTTTCATAAATCACACAGTGATCTTCATATTGCTTTCCACCGGGGAGAACATAATATTAAAATATTGAGCACATAGTATTAGCTGTCCTAAAACCACCAATCACTACAGTAAGGAGGTGTTCCCTAGATTTCTCCATTATAAAGAAATGTGAAGAATGCTTCTCTTTTGTGATTACCAGGTACCATGTTGGATGGAGACTTTGAAAACTCTGGAGAAAGTTTTAAATTCCTGTTAACAGAGGTTACTCAAGACTAAAATGCAAACAAGAAAAACAACTTTCCCAAAAATGTCTCAGGAAGTCTCTTGTGGTGAAATGTCCTGTAGATGGGCTAATGTGACCAGCCTTGGGCATGAAAAACAATCTGTGAGAGCATGTCTTTGATACCATGCAACTGTACAAGGCACTGTTGAGAGCTACCAGGGACAGAACAGTGAACAAAACAAAGACCCTTTAAAATTCATATTCTTGCTCAGTATTGTGGTGCATGTCTATAATTCCAGCTACTCAGGAGGTATAGGTAGGAGGATGATTGGGGTCTGAGGGTGCCAAGGGGAAAAGCAGAGATCCTATTGGAAAAATAACTAAAGCAAAAAAGGTCTGGGGCATGGCTCAAGGGATAGAGCACTTGCCTAGTGAGTGTGAAGCCCTGAGTTCAAACCCCAGCACCACCACCAAAAAACAAAACAAACATGGGGAAGGTCATTTCTGAGGATCACACATGCTGTGAAGGTGACAGGGTGGTGGGATGATGTGATGAGGAGGGGCTCTCCACCCAGAACACAGCGTGGATATCAATGATGAACCACTGTCATTATTAAGAAAAAAAAATACACCTTTATCTGTTTACTACTCTGAGGGTGGCTATGAGCTTTCAGTGCAAGGTATTGCAACATCAGTTGCAAGCCTTTGAAGACAAACCCATTCATCTAGATGGGTAGAGTAATAGTCACTTGGATCATTCTGGCACCTGTGACTTCAGATTTAGTAGTAGTAGATAGATCATAATTATGTTGAATACTAGCTTCACTCAAATGCATGAAGGATCTGCTCTCTGTGCAGTTTGGGTCACTTTAGTGTTTCTTTCATAGTTCTACT